CAAAGAATGAGGGACGGAATGCAACTTGCATACCAAGCTTACTAATACACACACACACACACACACATACACACAGCAGTTTATGCAGTAGCCTACATTTTCTGCATAGGCCTCAGCACATAACCTCTGTTTAAAAGCATTGGATGCAAATGTGCAGAAGCTGATTTCGAGTGTAAAGACAGATAAGTGAGAGGAAGCTCAGCACCACCGAAATCTGTAAAAGCACATTGACTTCACTGAAATGCAGGAGGAGAGTCTAAATCCTACTTGATAATTCAGTAGCGTTCTCTGTTGGATTTAATTAGTGCCTAGAAACTATTGAAATCCTAGTGTGTGTTTGGCGTTTGTGCATGTATGTGTCTGTGATGGAGACAGAGAATGAAAGAAAGTGTTTTAATTACCTCTAATTAGAGCTGAGAGATTGGCTGTGAAATGGAGCACAGAGGCCTAATTGCCATGAGACAACCTCCCACCACTGCACGGTGTGGATGGGACACCACCATCTACTCTTACAATCAGTCATTTGGCAATCAAAAGCCACTAAATAAACACAAGGAGATTTACAATATACCATACAATTACTTATGTAAAAACATGCAATCACACCTGTATTTGTCACTGAATTCATCCAAACTTCATATTCTATTCAGTTTCTGCATTCCCGAAAAAATAATTGCAAATTATTGTTAAGAAACTGATTATTAAAGAGGAAGTAGATGCTTCTTAAACACAGAACAAGAATCTAATGAGGTTCAGAAAATAGCTTCATCTCTCATCTATTATTCAACCTCTATCTCTACCTCCATCAGCTGCTACACACACACACAAACACACACATACACACACTGTCCATTTGCAGTAGCACGTTGACAAATGAGAGGAAGTATTAAAGTGCTCTGAGTCTGTGTGAGCACAGCAGTGGTTGTGTGTGTGCACAAATGGCATGCAATTTTAATGATATTCTTCGAGTGGATAGTCTTTCATGGAATATCATTTGAAGTATCTCTAAAATCAATGTCTCCTTATCAGGAGTTTCAGGGGTGCATTCTCAAGAGTGGTGCATCTCAGGCTGATATAACTGCATCTTAGGAGAACCTCACCACTGGTATGGGAGACTCCCTCACTGGTAGCTGTGCTGCAGCTCTTCAGGTATACCAGAAGAAGAATATAAGAGTGCTGAAAAGCTGGCAGCACAGATCAAGAGTGACGTTGCAAAGAAGGTACAATCGGTTTGGTATGGAATTAACCAGAACACATGATGTGCATTTGCCTCAACTGAAACCTTGTAAAATGATCAGCTCCAGTCTCCATCTGTGCCTAAAAAGTAGCCAAACCTTTTACTTTTCCTCCAGAACGCATTATGTAGAACTTTCATAGACTGCTATCAATATAAACATTTACATGAGTTTAAGTTAGGGGTGGGTGACAGGATGAAATTCTCTACCACAGTGGTATTTTCAAGTGAGATATCAATAGATATTATGATCTGGTAAGGTTTCTGTAAACTATTGAGAACTTGTGTTTGTGGATCTGTTTTTGTCTAAATATGACAATAATAAATAAAAAATAAATGTACATCACACTTTATTGTAAAAATGTTGACATGTATACAAAACATCTGCGTACTGATTTGCAACATTACACACAAAGGCCTAATGCACCCATTGATTATTTATGGGCTAGATATTCTGTTCATGGTATGAACAGAATGGCAAAATGTATATTGTCCACTACTGCATTTGAACACATGTTTATTCAAATGTGATATTTTGGATGCTCCACATATCCGAGGCTGCAAAGAGAAATGTGAACTTGAGTTCTAGAAGCTGCCATTCTGCTGGCTGATATTCACACAAGCAGCTCAAAACTAGAGCTGACGCCGTGGGATTTCCCAACCTATTAACCATTACTATTATTAGCCATCTGGCCCACTGTGGACATGAGACTCTTCCTCTAATAGCGCCATGTCTAATGACAGAAAGATATGACAAGAAAAGCAAGGCTTGTGTGATTAGGTTTGACCATATACAGAATGTTAATGTTCTTTCCTGTTGGGAGCAGCGATATACGGAGAAACATTGTAAAAACATTTGCAAAAATAACACAAAAAGTCAAGCCTGAATCTAAAGTAACACAATAATTCAACCATTGTGTGCAAGATTATGGTCACAGATCCATGATAACCCGGCATACATGAGGAAAGCATTTATTCTCATGTAGAACGTTATGTTATTAGTATTTACTACACTGGACTTTGGATTGTCTGTGATCTGGAAGAAAAATTCAAGATATATTTTAGAGCTGGACTTGAATCGAATAAATGAAAATGTTATGGAGTGAATGAATTCATTCATAATGGATATTGTATTGCCAATATTGCTTGCCTCAACTCTTCGGGCACATTCACAAGCAGCAGAGTTGTGTGTTTGTGGTACCTGAAGAGACCATCTGAAAATGTAATGAATAAATGACTGTGTCATTTTAAGTACTTCAAATCTGTATTTTCAATTTATTTTAATCTTTTTCATTAACTTGTTTTATCAATTAAAAGTATAATGTGCAAAAGAAAGAATTAACACTATTTACACTTTGAAAATAATAAAAATGTAAAGCACCAGCAATATCATCCAGCTAAGCACAGAAACAGTATAGCGCATGATCGGCGTCTACAACTCTTCCTAAAGTAAATAACATCTGGTGAAAATCTCAGTTCAACTGGTACCTGTATTATAGTCTTCAAATGATGAATTGTACAAGTGACCCAGATTACACTGTGATTCATTTCGAATGTTTCCTTAAATCATGTGACTCCTCGCTGCCAACAAGTCACCAGACCACACTAGACAGCTGGCTTCACCATCGGGGGGAGTCAGTGCAAGAGCAGGCCTGCAGTCAACCATGAAGAGGAAAGGAGTCAAAAAGTATTTAGCAAATAGAACATTTTTAAACAAATTTCTCACAAATTTTTAAAATTACGTTCTCCCTCACAATCATTCTGTATTAGCCTGTAGTCTGGGAGAGACTCTTTTGATTATGTAGAAAGGAATAAAATCAGCTTGTTTGTTTGCATTCAATGCTGTCTGTCCTGGTCTTACTGAATACATGGACTGGATGGTTATGTAAAGCGTGTAAAGAGGACTATTTACAGTACGTATGAGAGTGTAGGATTTGTATTAACAGTGTCAGATGACATGTACAGAATAAAAAATAATATTGCGCAATAAAAACTGTAACATCATAATATATGATGGCAGCACTGAATATGTTGGTGTTAGAGGGAATACACCCAGTGAATGGTAAATAAACCATGTCTGGTGGTGTCCTTGGGGATGTATGACTCAGCACACAGTGATACGATTGGCTACCAGTAAAGGAGCAGAACTGAGGCTGTATTTTATTATTTGAATGGCATGTTAACCCCAGTAACATATACGTACATGCATTTATGGGAAATATAGGTCATATTATGGGTTAGTGGCATATTGTGTACATATCAGTCATCATATGGGACCAAATAAATTGAATGAGAGCTTTTTCCAGGTAGAAAGGTTTCAGCTACAACCACTTACGGTATATGGGTTTCCAAACATAACGTAAGGCCCCGTCTTTTCACGACATGAAGACTGTGACTGAGAGGTAAAGCAAAGCTGAGCACAAAGCTAGCACAAAGGTCAGCACAAAGGTCAGAGTTAGGAGGTTTGAATTGAGTAAGCGAAGGAACAGGCTCACAACAGACCTTTGAAGAGGGTGGCCTGATGGCAAGCAAGATTTGAATACAACTGCCCTTGATATTTTCCCAGAGAAACATGCTACCTGATGCTAGAGCCACTGTAAGCTGTGCACTGAATGAGTCCGTTATTAGAGGGACGTGCCATACAAGAAAACGACTGAACTATTTGTGAGCCATTTTTAAAGATTTAAATTCAAGTCTTCAGTATGAACAATAGAGATTTGGGACTGAGAGCCATGGTAGGGAAGTTGAAAGTGCTGTCGGTTATAGTCTTTCATGAGATTTGCTGACAGTAAGAATATACAGAATAATGGCATCCTGCTCCTTAAACAACAAAATGGCTGGCATACCAGCATGTGTGAGTCAATCATTGTCTGCTCCCCTACTGCCAAAACCGTCCAGGTTTGTCCAGGGTGGTGGTGGTGGGTGGTGATTGGTGGGTGACATTCCAGTATGGAAGCTGATCCTTCTCAGGATGTACACACGGGCATCCCCTACACACAGTGTCACAGCCTGTCACTGAGATACCTGGAGTGTGTTCATGTGTGTTTTACCCTGACCATGGCACATTCGATCTCAATAAGGATTTAAGAACATAACTTTCAGCAGAACTGGTCTGAAGCTATTGTCATGGTGAATCGTACTTTTCTAAAATCAGACAGGTGACATTCCAGAGGAGGACTTGCCATACTTGACAGGGATTGACTCAAAATAAACTTTGCACCATGTTCCTGTTCATGAAGGAACATGTTATTCAGTGCAACAGTGTGGCTCATGTGTATAAATGTTGTGTTTCACAGTTTTTGGACAGCATTGGAGGTCTATGGCGCAGACAATTAAGCAATTGATTCATACATTCATTATGAAACATTCCTTACGATACATTCATTGGTGTTTTCATAGGATTCGTTCACTTGTTGTAATATGAAAAATATAAAATATTAGCAGATAATCTTTGACTAAACATTGAAGAAAGATAAACGTCTGATCTAGTGAGTGCCACACCCGCCCACAGTGCCAACAGCGTGTGAAAGCGGGGAGTGATTGGATGAGCATCACCATGGCAATGCGATGACGTCTTCGTCCCTTGCTCTAATTGGAGGAAACCCCGTGGCCCCAGCCGCTGCAGCGTTCCGGTCTGTCAAACTACCCCCGAAGGACCGCCTCTTTCGCCGCGCTAAACAACTACTGGTTTACAGCGACAAGTCTTTCTGTCAATCACGTGAGATTACGGTATATTATTGGACGGTCGACACTCAGCTAAACCGCCCCTATTTCAGCAGGTTGAGTTGAATTTTCGCTGCTACTGCCGTTATTTGCCTTTCTGACCATCCTCTCAAATCTGATCTATTTGTGGAGCAAATTTGGACCTCCGTAGGTTAGAAACGATGAGTACTTTACATGTTTATTTTCGTTAAGAAGGCTATACGGTCGCTGGTTGATCGACGAACAGAAAACTGTGGTCTGATTAGTGTTTAATGCGAGTATCGCTAACGTGACATTTTTATTGAAAGGAGTGGCCGATCTAGCTTTAGCTAACGTGCAGCTAGCTGCAGCAGACAGCTTTGTGGCGGGTTGTCGTGCGGAACGGTAGACTTGCAGAAACCGTTTAAAACCAGCTTCTTTGTTGTTTTAGACTGCAATTTATCTCAAGTGTGTACGTTAATTGTGGTGAAAGCAGGCTAACTAAATTTACTACGTTTGGTAATTTAAGATAAATATTTCTGGAAACGTTTTTTTTCTCGCCTTACGCATTTTAATCGCTGCTGTTTCACTTTACTGCTCATACCAGGCGGATGCATGTATTTTTTTTTTTCATGTCGACGCCTATCGTTACTAATTGTTCTAACCTTCTTTTCGCAGCTTCTACAGTCGCTGTGAGGACATAACGTCCCTTCGCTGCTGCACCCATTCTTCAAACCCATACTCCTTCGATTGCCACACAATCCCGGATTTTCCCAAATTTATCAGTCCCCCCAAATAATATAAACTATGGATAAAACGGATCTTATTCAGAGGGCCAAGCTGGCGGAGCAAGCCGAGCGTTACGACGACATGGCGGAGAGCATGAAGGAGGTCACGGAGAAGGGAGAAGAGCTGTCAAACGAGGAGAGGAACCTGCTGTCCGTCGCCTACAAGAACGTGGTTGGGGCGAGGCGCTCCGCGTGGAGGGTGTTGTCCAGCATCGGAGTGAAGGCCGAGGGGTGCGAGAAGAAGCAGCAGATGGTCAAAGAGTATCGGGAGAAGGTGGAGAAGGAGCTCCAAGAGATCTGCGATAACGTCCTGGTAAAGTATTCCAGTCTTTGAATGGTTGAAAGTGTTTTCTCGTAATAAAAGAAACGTGGTTTAACATTAATTTAGGGGTATGTACTTAGAACTGGGTTGAAGAAACCGTGTTTGCTCAACTTGAAGGTTAACACGTCTTTCACAGATGCCCGTCTTCATGACACATCTGTAGTCCCAAAAATGTAAAGTGACGCATGGTTTTATTTAAAGTCAAAGATTGTGTGACAAATGGCATCTGCCCTGTTTTTCCTGCGAGCTCCACGGTTGCATGAATATATGACCGGAGAGGACAAGGAAGTAGTATGTAGTCCTCCCACTGTTCCTGCCTTTTGGGAATCTGGATTTAGAACAATGGGCCCTGAAACCATGTGAGGGCGTGAACTGACACAAAGGTCATAGTGACTACACCATCAAGGTGTGTCTGAATGGGTGGAGAGAGGACGTACACACACACACACACACAGAGGAAAGATAGGCGGTATACTCTGTGTTCTATAAAGCTATGCTATGTTCAGTATCCATATCTTCCCATCTGGCTGATAGAAGCCTAATGTGGTTAGCCAAGTGCAAGAATTTACATGCCTAAATGACTCACACACTTTCTACAGATCATCATCGTACAACAAGGCTGTGTTTGACAGTTAAGCTAAATGCATTCTCAGACATTACACTCCACATTTAAAAGCTTTACTGGAATACTAGGGGGGGGGGTAATACTTTCACCTCTTGTTTAATCTAATGCAACAGCACAGATTGGTGCTTTGCATTATTTCAAGCCTGCCTTGATAATGGATTAGAGGAGATCGCCGCTGTTGAACCAAAGAGGAAGCTGAGCTGTAAGATTGAGATAATTTCCATGAGCCGCGCTGCAAAGTTGCAGTCGCCGTTCATTTTTTTTTTTCTTTTTTTCAACCAGCTTTCCATATGATTTCCTAAGACTATGCGCTTGAACAGCTGTGACTCAGCTTTCAGGATCTCTTGATAGCGAGTGGCGTCAGGAGGGTTTGTCAGCAGAGGAGGGTGTGTCGGTCCTCATGCCTTAACTTGTCTGCAGACAACCTGACAGGTTAGTGATGCACCCACAAAGGGCCGTAAGTGTAGAGGCCGCAGTAGACGAGTAAGCTGCTTGTATTCCCTCCGCCTAGATTTCCTGCACTGCAGACTGTGAAACCGAGCGGACTTGCGTCTCGGCTAAAAGCAGGTCTGGAGGAAGCAGGGGCTTCTGGATGCTTGGGCTCCAGTTTCCACACAGGATGTAAATGTAGGGCTTGTAGACCAGACGGTGTGCCAGCTGAGCAAATTCAGGCTATTCACACTTTTTCAGAACATGACACTCCAGACTGTACCTTGACATTTGAAGCTTCGAAACAGATAAAATACTACAAAGATGTGAATCGGGGGTTTGGTTTGCCACCATGGCTTGTCAGATATTTTAGCGTTGGGACAATTCAAAATCAATCTAGTCAAAGTTGTCATAAAGGCAGTCACATGTAACTAAGAACCACCTCACAGAACATTATAGTGTTGCCATTTTGAATTTGTAATGAAGGATTAGTCCATGCTCGGGGAAAATAAATCGATTCCCTACATGCATAGGCACTGCACACATAACCAGTCAGGCTTTAATGCAGCAACACTGCTTTCTTGTCTTTTGCTGGTGACTGAAATCAGAGCTTTGTGTGAAAGTGGGGCTACCCCTCTTCTTGTCTATTGTGCAGAGCACACAGTGGAAAAGGAATGCTTAGTACTTGAGACATGCCCGTGTTTCGGCTGTGCCAATCTTTGTGTCGGTAAATGACTGGGTAGGCGCTGCTGGGGTGGGTTTGGCTCAAACAAGGGCAGCTTCTTTCTCCCCAGGGTTCAGAGGGGAGAGCTCTTTTCTTTGACTTTTTTAATAATAAATTGTATTTAAGTTGAAGGAAAGGAGGATGTTTCTATTTATTCTAAACGCCACATTGCCTCTCGGTCAGGACTGTTGTTGGGGGGCGGGGGGTTGAAGGTATTCTCAAGCATTTTTCAGCGGTTAATCTTTTCTCTAAATCGTTTCATCTGAGCACAAACTCCAGTTTCACAGACACAGATCTGGTAGTCTTCCCATGTCTGTTCTAAAACAGATGATTTGGCCTAGAATGTAATCACAGGATGTGATTCTGTTTTATATTTTAGCTATTTTACTACGACTACTATACTCTTTAAACCCTGTTGCCGTTTTAAGCAGCCTTTTCAGTGGGAAAGCACAGATTACGATTATTTAACAATGAAACGGTTATTTATTTCCACTGTTCTGCTGTATATTATGTGATTTATTTTCAAAATGTGTGGGTGATCTACCAGAAAAGGAGCCATCAGTTGTACTTTGCTCCTGATAATGCAGCACTGTACTAATTAGTCATCGAGCTGAGCATCTATGAAGGGAGTAGTGCTCTCTGGTGGACGGAGGCTTATGGGACACTTACAGTGGATGAGCCCCACCTATTTTGAGGTGTGTGTGTGTGTGTTCGCATCTTTATTTGTGCCCAATTTGGTAACTATTTTCTCTAAATCTAGCATGTCTGCTTGTTTAGTGAAAGCTTTTGGTAATGTTATCCCTGTTCGACTGTTCAATATTTGCTCGGTGCTTCTACTTCAATTGATCGAACTTTTCCTGTCTTCACAGAAACTGCTAGATGAGCATTTGATTGCAAACTCCAAAAATCCTGAGAGCAAAGTCTTCTACCTAAAGATGAAGGGGGACTACTTTAGATACCTTGCTGAAGTTGCTGCTGGTGAGAAGAAAGATGGTGAGTTCATAGTTGTACTCTATTTATTGTATTAATTTGTTTTTGTTTTTTTAATCATACAAAAAAAGTAACTTCTACAAACAAATCCCAATTCAAAGATGGAGCAAAAGATCTAATTTCATCCTGGAAGAAAAGCCTTCATGTTAAATGTTAAATTTTCTTTACTTCTCTATGTAATGAAGTGTCTTTTTTTTATTTGCACGTTATTGGCTAAACCCCCCCTTGTTAGAAAAAAGAACAAATATAAGTGGGCCACTTTTTTACACTGCAAATACCAACGTGTCAGATTTTGTCTTAGAGCTGGAAGTGACGTCAAGTGGGGCAATGCGTCACGGCCACGTGACCACAGGGCTCCGTCATAGTGTGTGTGTGTGTGTGTGTGGCACCAGATTGGCCTCCAGCTCTCCGACATGGAACGATGTATAGTGACAGAATTTCTTCCCCACCTTCCCCTCACTGTTCTTATTAGCATTGTGTACTTCAAATCCAATTATCAAAATTGGTGTGCTGGCAGACATTTGCATTAGTTTGTTCCTGAGTACTTTCTGATGTCCCCACCCTGTCTGTAGCTCTCAGCCCCAAACCATTGGTTCCTGATCATCTTTAAAAAAAAAATAACAAAACTGCATAGTTTCATTATTCAATGTAAAGAAAAGGCTTAATAAATACATGTTTGGGGACTATATTAAGCCAGTGATTAATACACATGTGGTGCTCTAGTGACTGTGGCAGTATGTTGGATTATAATACCCATGTTTATGGTAATGGTAGAACATGTCACTTGGTGCAACAGTGCGGCTCATTCATGTTTTAGCTTAACATCGGCGGTCTATGGAACAAAGGAATACACTACATCAGGCTTTGGCTACATAGACAATTTCTTAGGTGGATCGATTTCTTGCTGGATTTAGTGTTTTCATAGGATTTGTTGACAATAAGAAAAATAAATATGCTTATAGATTGCACTGTAATTAAGATGCTTGGGGGCAGCCACTGATAGCCACTAGCTTAGCACAAAGACTGGTTCTGTCCAAAGGTAACAAATTAGATCTACCAGCACCCCCTAAGCTCCCTAATTAACGCATATGTTTATTGTGATGCTATATTTCTTGGCCAGGAGTAGTAACCCTTCCGCTGGCTGCTTTGCAACTAATTCAACAAGTCTGTGCAATAGTCTGACACATACAGTTGTGTGAAAAAGTGTTTGCCCCCTTCCTGATTTCTTATTTTTTTGCATGTTTGTCACACTTAAATGTTTCAGATCATCAAACAAATTTAAATATTGGACAAAGATAACACAAGTAAACACAAAATGCAGTTTTTAAATGAAGGTTTTTATTATTAAGGGGAAAAAGAAATCCAAACCTACATGGCCCTGTGTGAAAAGTGATTGCCCCCCCCCCCTCCCTGTTAAAACATAAATTAACTGTGGTTTATCACATCTTTGGAATGCTGAGTTCAATTTCTCTAGCCACACCCAGGCCTGATTACTGCCACCCCTGTTCTCAATCAAGAAATCACTTAAATAGGACCTGCCTGACAAAGTGAGGTAGACCAAAAGATCCTCAAAAGCTAGACATCATGCTGTAAAAGTAACACGGCATTTCAGAAAAGGAACATCATACCAACAGTAAAATATGGTGGTGGTAGTGTGATGGTCTGGGGCTGTTTTGCTGCTTCAGGACCTGGAAGACTTGCTGTGGTAAATGGAACCATGAATTCTGCTGTCTACCAAAAAATCCTGAAGGAGAATGTCCGGCCATCTGTTCGTGACCTCAAGCTGAAGCGCACTTGGGTTCTGCAGCGGGACAATGATCCAAAACACACCAGCAAGTCCACCTCTGAATGGCTTAAGAAAAACAAAATGAAGACTTTGGAGTGGCCTAGTCAAACTCCCGACCTGAATCCGATTGAGATGCTGTGGCATGACCTTAAAAAGGCGGTTCATGCTCAAAAACCCTCCAATGTGGCTGAATTACAACAATTCTGCAAAGATGAGTGGGCCAAAATTCCTCTACAGCGCTGTAAAAGACTCATTGCCAGTTATCACAAACACTTGATTGCAGTTGTTGCTGCTAAGGGTGGCCCAACCAGTTATTAGGTTTAGGGGGCAATCACTTTTTCACACAGGGCCATGTAGGTTTGGATTTTTTTTCCCCTTAATAATAAAAACCTTCATTTAAAAACTGCATTTTGTGTTTACTTGTGTTATCTTTGTCTAATATTTAAATTTGTTTGATGATCTGAAACATTTAAGTGTGACAAACATGCAAAAGAAATCAGGAAGGGGGCAAACACTTTTTCACACAACTGCCCACAAACCCACAGAGTTGTCATTTTTACTCGGATTTTTTGTACAGTTGAACTATTGCTTTATTGTCACGTTTCATCCAGTGTGTAGCTTTAAATAGAAATTGTAAAATTTTCAAAAAACTATTTGGTACTAAGATGCCATGTTTGGACAGATTCTGCTAAAATGAATTTGCTTTAAGCAGACGTCTCTCAACCGTGACATGCATACATTGACCATTGGGTTTGATTCCTTCCTCTGTCCCCAGACACCATTAAGAGCTCACAGCAGTCATACCAGGAAGCGTTTGACATCAGCAAGACTGAGATGGACTCCACACATCCCATCCGCTTGGGCTTGGCGCTCAACTTCTCTGTCTTCTACTACGAGATCCTTAACTCTCCACAAAAAGCCTGTGAATTGGCTAAAGAGGTCTGCAGACTTTTCTTACATAAATCTGTCACTTTCCACATTTCTGCAGTTGTACTATGTTGCAACCTGCTAATATTTTCTTTTTCTTTGCTTCCAGGCATTCGACGATGCCATTGCAGAGCTTGACCAGCTCAATGAGGAGTCCTACAAAGACAGCACTCTCATCATGCAACTCCTCAGAGACAACCTGACAGTGAGTGCTCTCGTCTCACAATGCACAAAAATAAGCTCCACTGTGTAAGATGTAGGGTTATGTTTGCCTCAGTTTGAAGCGTACTGTGACCATAACACGAACACATTTGTTGAAATGGCCTCAATTGAAGGAAAGGACAAAAGCGTGCCGTTTTAGTGAAGGGTGAGACCAAATCTGCTTAGCATTTCTTGTGGTTGGACACCCGATATCATACAAACGTTGCATGTATACACAGAATTCACGGAATGGTTGGACATGAAGGGGTTAAAGTCTATGAAAAGTCATTGGCTAAAATGTGTATGAACCCTGATTCATGGTCTTGCCAGAAAGAGAAGCTCGTATCCTATTGCACACATCCCCGCCGATTCCACTGTCGGAAAGTAAACAACCAGACCAGCACTTTGTTTGAGGAGTACCAAGTTGCCTCAGTATTTATTTACTGTCCAATGACCGAACTTCTTTGTTTACAGGATTTATTTAAAAATAGATTTTTCTAGCTCTACTTCAAATTTCTACATTGTGTTAAACCTAACAATTTCAGGGTGTGCACAGAGATGTGTCTAATGTGTAATCACTGCCAATTACAGGTCCACTACAAAGTATGGCTTAAAGTTTTCACAGTGATTATGGATCTGCGACTGTATTCCACTTTATTTGTTTAACAAATCTCTGTTTCTATCCTCAGTTATGGACATCAGACAACACTGCTGAGGAGTGCGAGGGTGGAGAAGGAGGAGAGCAAGGCGAGAATGAGAAGTAAAAAAAAAAAAGTCCTCGATGTTGGGGTCCTCTCTAAAAACAACAAAAGGAAGAAAAAAAAAAAAAAAAAAACCTTTTTACACATCCTTCATTCCTTTATTGCTCCACTCAAACATTCTACCAATGAAACCCATTGCTGAAAAGAGTCATGTAAGAAAATAATGATTTAAAAATAAATGAGTACAATAAATTCTTTTCACAATGTTGATTTGGACAACTGTAGAAAAGAGAAACCCTCTCTTCGTCTGGTTTAGGTTTGTCCTGGCCTTCCCATTTGTGCAGTTTCAGCTGTAGAGCAGTGATTGATAGCTTGACATGGTATCGGACCCCCAGCTCAATTTAGAGGCAAGAAAACTTAAGTCCCACTGTTGGACAACTGGAAGCTCAAATCCCACCTCTTGAGACAGTTTAAATATTTTTCCAATAAGAAATATTAAAAGTAGTTCTCCCCCCCCCCCCATATCTTTTTTTGAGTGCGTCTGTCTCTACACAGTTACGTGGTACGGTTACAGCAGCTGAAGTCCAACTTCAAACGGATGAAATTTTCACACTGCAGGGAAAGCTTGTGCACTTTACATGCTGGCAACAAATACTATAATACAGCCAAGTAGTGCCAATTGGTTAAACCCTCACTTTCTGCCCTGGTTCTGATGCCACTCTTTCACTGAAGCATGCCTGTTGTTTGGGGGGGGGGTGATGGGGCTTGTCTGATCAAATGCAGGGACCTTTTCAATGGGAGGAAGACAATTCTGTCATGCATGTCTCTTGAGATATTACACTGGAATGGGGAACAAATGCTGTAACACACACAAGTCCAAGTGTCAAGTTTAGTGATTTTAAATGCAGGTTTGTACACATCCTTCAAGTGGGTGGTTTGTTAGTCTGTCCAGTGATTGTCATTAGAGATTTGGACCACTATTGTTTTGCTATTCATTCAATTGTTGTCCCCAAAAGCCTTGTGGAACTGTTTGAATCCCTATGTATCAGCTATGTTAACATGAATAAAACATTTTATAAACCAAGGCCAACTTTGTCTGTTTTATTTGCTTAATAATGTACTGTGGGTGTCTGTAAATTCCCTATATCTAGTGTGGTTTATTCTAGTTAAGAAACCTTAGACGGGAATGAGATTTGACAAATGCATATAACTTTTACTGTAAGGGAATTCAGCAATTTTTTTCATTCTGCCAATTCTAGGGGTTTTGTTATAATTCTGAGATATTTGACATTTTCGAACTTTAATACTGGCTTTCCTTGAAGTCAATTTAGGCAAAAGTACATTTATTTTTGATTGCTTTTGCATAATTCTATTTGTTACTATAAACTATTACTCTACTACATGTCAGCGGAAGCTATTGTAGTTTTAACAGCTATAGACACTGGTCACTTTACAGGTTAAGATTTAAAACATAAAATCATGATCAGATTGTAATTTATGATGCATTATTATATATTAAACTGTCCAAAAACCTCATTAATGGGGGACTCACTTCTGAAGGCAGGACAAAGTAACCCCTTATCTTTGTGTTTTGATAATGCTACATTTACTAAAGTGAAGGGTCTGAGTAACTTACTTCCATTACCACTGGCATCATTCAACTACCTGTGTGTAGCATGGGTGGGTACCAGTGTGCTGCAGCGTCAAAGCCATATACTGGGTGTACATCCCAAGTCTCTTAAAATGCATCTAAGATAAATTAGACGCCCTTTCCTCTGATTCCATGTGTTTTTATGTTCCATCCTTTGATACTCAATGTTTCTGAGTACATGTATTTTGCCAGGGTTTAAGGCTTTAGGGGGGACATTTGGGATTGGGCCTAAAAGAGTTTTGGGTTGTACCATTAGCCCCTATCACGCCCTCCAAACTCCCAAGTGAGAGGATGTTGTGCACTTCCGGGTCGCTCAGCTAGCCAACGTTAGCTATCCAGACAAACCGACTAAATTGTGACAATGACAGCGGTCGCATAGCTGACCGAGCTGCCTGAAAATGAGGAGCATTCTGTTAATCGCCTTTCTGGCTCCTTGTTGGGTCAACGGTGCAATTAAGTCGACAGTTATTACGGAAGAGAATCACGAAGAAAACCCGGAATTCGGTGAGTAACTTAGCAAGCTAGCGTTAGCGTAAATGTTATTGCTAACGTTAACCGTTGTATGAACGATTGTAACGATATGTAACGATGATGAGCGTGATTTGGTGCTATATTTGTTGACATTTGTACTGTTAAGGCACCGAGTCCTGGTCTAATTAAAACCATATCATTAAGCTAGAAAGAGGATCGTCAGCTCCAGATTGTTGTATTTGACCGTTACTGGGGATTTACATGAACACAAACGTAAATTCTGCTCGCTCGTGTCTGACCGTTGTCGTCTCTCAATGTCTTCCAGGTGCTCTGAACTCCATCCTGTCAGATTTTGAGGTGCTGCCATTGTCAGGCCTCCAGCTGCACTCTGTAAGGAAGAGGGACCTCCACACCCCGTCCCACCTGGAGCGCCTTGTGAGCTTCAGAGCCCTGCACAGGTAACCACCTTACAGCTGACTTTATAGCTGACATAAGCCTACATCCAAGTACAGCTGTTTTGATCTTTTGGAGTGATGGTACAGGAGATCCCTTCTTAGCGGATCTCCAATGTAAAGCCCAACTCCCATTACACGTTGATTTGAGAGTAACTGTGGCACACTATATCAAATCAACCCTTTCACACTCTATGAGTATGCACTCGGATCATACCATGGTTTGCAAATGTTAAGTTGCAGTCAGATGCAGTGTGGTACTAGCTAAAGAGACAAATAGACACACAGCTGGTGGCCAGTTTATGTTTAACTGTATAGTGAAATGCCATTGTCGGGGACACCAAATCCCATGTATTGAAAGAAGCCATGTAATCATGTTTAATATAGATATTGTGTGTCGTTTTATCTCTTTCAGAAATTTCAAGCTGTACTTGACCACCAACACGGGCCTCTTCACTGACAACTTTAAAGCTGTGTTTGTTGATAAACACGGGAGCGAGGGAAACTACAATATCAATCTTCAGAACTATTTCACTGGACATGTTGTTGGTAAGTGTTATTCTAGGATTAGGTATTCACTCATGTCTTCGTCTAAAGAAACTACCGATTGATTTTTGAGACCTATTTGCCGAACATGAGCAACAACCTTTTAATACGAGTTACCTTATTGGTGTTTGCAGGAGAGGAGAATTCCCGTGTGCAGGCACACATAGAAGGAGATGAGTTTTCTGCTCACATTCTAACTGATGCAGCCGAGTACAACGTAGAGGTAAGAATCATCTTGTCTGTGTAGAATCCAAATAGAAACAGTCAATTGTACGCTGAATATACCTGTAGACATTCATTTAACATAGTGCTTCATTGCTGTACTGTAAACCTGGGAAGCTTTAGCCTTTAACTTACTATTGCTCTGTATTTTCTTATTTTTTTGAGTGCCATTCTGTGTGATTATACGATACGTTTATACACCATAATCTTGGATTTACCAGTGAATATTAGTTGAACAGACAGCACTTCAATCTCAGTTGTTTCAATTTAAATCCAAAGTACTGTCGGGCAAGATGCTAAAACAAGACTAAACAGTACATTGTATGAGAAGTAATAAAGTGCCTACATTGCAATAATCCATGCCGTGGTGTTCTTTTTAAATGCCCCACGCCACTTCACCTCCTATCTATCTTTTTTTCTTGTTGTCATTCTTTGCCAGTATCTTTACGTATTCTTTCTCTCTTTTTGCTGCACATTTTTACCCCATCCTCTCTTCTCCCTGTGACCCTCTCTGATGCCTCCTGTCTTTCTCTGGCCATCCAGCCCCTGTGGAGGTTCACAGATTCCCCAGCTGATGGCAGATTGCTGGTTTATCGCTCAGACGACATCAGGAACCTGAGCCGCATTGTCTCTCCAAAAGTGTGCGGTTACGTCCACGCAGAGGCTTCGGACCTCCTGCCACAGGCTTCCGGGAGGGATCGGGACGGGCAGGAGGAGGTGGACCAGGGAAAGGGTGAGCTCCGCTGTCCGTTTTCCTCGCTAGGAGTGAAGAGTCTTGCAAATGTGTGTGTGTGTGTGTGGTCATAGTTGTAGTGGAAATGTGTAGGAAGAGGACGGCATATAAGGGGCGGCTGGAGATCACAAATGTGGTGCAGCCTCGGCTCTGTGGACGGTAAAGAGCAGATAAAGAAAGAATAGGAGGATAACAAATGTTTAAGGGAGCGAGGAGGAGGCTGTAGTAGTGAGACAAAAGAGGTGGGTGTTAAGTTCTGTAACACTCACTTTATTTAAAAAAATCCTTTGTTACACCGAGCCAAAAGTTCTGCACATTCACTACACGCTGCTGACAAGTGGGTATTATGTAACATCCAAATGCCTTTTGATTCGTTAGTGCTGGAAACGTAAAGCATATAGCAGTGATACTGTGCCAGAGACTTCTTAAACACCTCTCACTGGCAGCTGGGTGAAAACACTCACTGGGGATATAAGTTGAGGTGAAGGTTCTCATGGAGGAGGCATTCAAATTCACGGAGGCTCTGCTGCCCAATGAGATGACTCCGAGTCCTCACTGGTCTCCCACTGCTTGTTGTGGAAGGCAGGGTACGCACACCCACGCTGCTCAGCAGTGTACAGCCATGTGTATGATGTAATGTCTTCCTGTTGTCCTTTTTCTGTTACTCTTCAAGTGCTCATTGTTTGATAAAACGGATCTTTACTTTCAACGTTTTAAAATGTGAGGATTTGCCGCTTTCATTTATTTCTGAACAACTCAATTTAGCATTTTGAGACCTCATCACGGGCTCTGGAAGATGTTGAAGGGAATTTTTAACTATTTCTTGCATTCAAAGGTTAAAACTGAAGCATTACCTTTACAAAGTTAGAACCCTGAACTACAGATGTTAAGTCTAGTATGAGCATCACTTAATCTATTTGGAAAAGTCAAGTTTTGTGTTCACAGATTTAACAGAGAATTGTGTGTTTTATAGAACTCAAAGTCATCACGTGTGCCCCAAACCTCTGCTCCAGCTGGATAATTGTACCTGACATTGTGCAGCCTAGTTTACTATGGTTGTCTATATACAGTAGACCCCATTCACACGTACTATCATGCTATGTACTAGAAAGAGAAAATGCTATTTAATTTGCTATTAATTGGCTTGAAGAACCCGAAGCACCTCTGAATCAGTTCACAGGCAAACAAAAAGGAAGACGTGCTGCTAAATGTAAAAATGAGGGCAATTAACAACGGGATCCTGGAGCATGGCCTCATTGTTTGATTCTTCATGCATCTGTCCTTGTATGTTTTAAATATGGTAACGCTTTAAAAATGATTGTTACAACGTATTCTTTTCCTGTGTTTGCTTGCCTGCGGCCGTTTTTCTTCACCTGTTCCTGTCTCTCTAAACACTCCTGCTGTCTGTCCCTCGTAGGCCACCACCACAGAGAGAAGAGACAGGCTCACGACCACAAGAAGAACACCTGCCCCCTCTTGCTGGTTGCAGATTACCGCTTCTTTCAACACATGGGCCGCGGACAAGAGAGCGTCACTCTCAACTACCTGGTCCGTCTTTATGATGCTATGTACAAAAAGTGCAGAGAGAGTTCACCATGTGAAGATTTAACATGCATCCACAGGGTGTTACAGTGAACAGGACTAGAGCAGAATGCATGTTTTTGCAGTCAAAGTCAAAATAAATGTGTGCTGTTCTTGCTTTATGATTTTTTTATTTTGTTCCTTCTCTCACTCCAGATTGAGCTGATTGATCGAGTCGATGACATTTATAGGAACACAACCTGGGATGATGAATACAAAGGCTATGGGGTCCAGATCCAGCAGGTGTGTTTGTGTGTTCTACTTCATTGTAATATGGTTCCAGTCTGACTTATGGAACAATTTGTGGCGATTTAAGCATCAGACATCACTAGACATCACTGCTCCCAGCAGCACGATAGCTTTGTTTTACATCAAGTCTCTCCCGGAAGCGGAGCTGAGAATAACACTGTCCCCTCAGTGTGTTGAGAACTTGAATTTTTCGGAGGAACTGAAAGCTTTTGTGTGTGCCCTGTGGGGTAATTTAATTTGTTCCACAGGCTCTGGGGATGAATAGAGACACTGTTTGTCATACTGCGAGTCTCGCTTTTTCTCACTGAAAAGATATGCACTCATTTAGCTGCTCCGAGTTATTGTCCAGCATACATGTCAAGAAGAACTTGTAATGTACCGCTTCTAATCCCAATGCCTTTGTTATGAACAACAATGATGGCTTGAAACGCAAAGCCCAAAACAGGATGCTGACTGACTAAGAGTCACTCTAACTATGCATTAAAGGTTTCAGGTTCAGGGCCATTCCTAAAAACTATGTTGCAGCTCAATGTACAATAATTCCTGTAATAATTAATTTATGATTTGAGGGGGAAAATACATCTTTTGTGTGTTATACATCCTTATGAGCCAGTACAATAAGATTTGTTTAAATTCTTTGAATTGTGAAATTGTTCATAAATGGTGTCTTTGGTTACCATTCTCAGATCATCATCAACAAGGAGCCGACGAAGGCCCCCGACGACCATGCTGGCACAAGCTGGGTCCACTATAACATGGAGAACAGCCCTGTGAAAGGAAAAGTGGTCTGGGACGTGAAGAGACTTCTAGAGGTAGGACAGGGAGGAAGAGAAAGATGTACACGTAGGGAGCGTACGTTTGGGAAACACTATGGGTCCCTTATCAGGCAAAACCAGGGGACTGTCACTGGATATGATTTGGGAAAATTAAATTTAATTGTCAACAGAATGTTACATTTGCTCACAAAAATGTGTAAAATGTACATTTGCACTGGAGCTATAGCAGCTTATCAAAGATATAACCGGATGATTTGGCAGATAAGTAACAAGAAAGGCCATTTTAAGAATGTCAACGATCTGTTTGAGGTAATTTGGAAAACGAATAATTAATAACTAAATATAGATGTCCCGCTCAGTAAAAACCTTGCTCAAAAACCTTGGAAAAACAGAGACAAATGACAAATGTTGATATATAATAACTCTTCTTTTTGTCCCTCAGCAATTCAGCTCCGACATAGCTGGGAACGCCTCCAGTGTGTGTCTGGCCCACCTGTTCACCTATCAGGATTTCGATGAGGGCACACTGGGACTGGCCTATGTGGCCCCCTCCAAACCTCAGGCCCTGGGCGGCCTCTGTCCAAAACGTGAGGACCCCCCCCAACCTAAACATTTTATTTGACCTACATTACCAACTGTTTTATGGAGCCCTGGGCTTTTGTAAAGCAAAACAGATGCTGAGATCTTGTGGTGATTTCTGTCCCTTTTTTTTTTTTTAGCGTACTACCCGTCTCACTCCATACACAAGCCCAGTTACCTCAACACGGGTCTGACCAGCACCAAGAACTATGGCAAAACTATCCTAACAAAGGTCTGAGTTCCCTCGTTTTTTCAATCTTCATCCTCGATAAAACTAATTACTAGCTGCAGGAAGTTATGCAACATGTCACCCTGCCATATGTAGACTCTAAGTAGAGCAGACACACCTTTTTGTGTGGGTGTTATGAGTAATGATCCTAATGCTGTTGCATTTTGAGACCTCAGTTATCAGTATATTGCTTGCTCCTCAGCACAGTTTACAGTTAAGCTTCAACACATGAATGTGAGCTGGGAGAAAGTCTCTTATAGTATGATAATATGCATGTTTTTTGTTGTGACTACATAACATAAGTGTTTGTGAACGTGCAACGACACACAGTGTCAGTCCTGCATTTCGTTGCTTGACAGAATAGAGTTTTCGTGTGATTTGTTCTCGATTGATTCAACAGTAAACTATATGTTTCTATCAAATAACTCTGGTTGGTTCGTGTCCCATCAGGAGGCGGACTTGGTGACCACTCACGAGCTGGGCCATAACTTTGGAGCAGAGCACGATCCCGACAACATCCGTTACTGTGCTCCCAGCGACGACCACGGGGGGAAGTTTGTCATGTACCCGATTGCTGTGAGCGGAGACCATATCAACAACAAGGTACCCTCTCTAACAGTGAACAAGTAAAAAGGGCTATTCATTCACTTATTCAAATTCATAACAAACAATGCTGACATGTTTGAACTGAGTTCTGGATGCATTGTAGCACAACTGTTTCACTGACTTTAAATACATATTTTGTAAATACATATTTTTGCAAATATGTATTTAAGGAAATAGCTTTTGATTTGTTGTGAATCGGGAAGAGATTTACATTTTGTATTATTCTAGTGTTTTAGCTTCATAGCAGTCCTTTTGTCATGTCACCGTTCACAGTTAAGCATAAAGCATCCCACTCCTAGTTAATATCTAACCCTCGTCTACTTCTACTTCCTCCTAAAGCGCTTCTCCAACTGCAGCAAGATCTCCGTAGGAAAGACGCTGCGTTTCAAGGCGCCTCTGTGCTTCAAGGAGAGGAACAGTAAGGTATGTGGGAACTCCAGAGTTGAGGACGGGGAGGAGTGCGACCCCGGCCTGCTCCACCTCAACGACGACCCCTGCTGCTCAGCCGACTGCACGTTCAAACGTGGCGCACAGTGCAGGTATGAGATCCAAAAGACGCATTAACTTGTATGTCAGGTCTAAAAATATGCTCAAACGTTGGATTCATTTGAAGATGGCAGGAGGTGTGTGTGGCACTAGATTGAATACATTCTCATGTCTCTGTTCTCTCCACAGCGACAGAAACAGCCCTTGCTGTAGGAGCTGCCTGTTTCAGCTTGCAGGAAGAAGGTGCCAGGAACCCATCAGCGCTACCTGTAAAGGCATATCATCTTGCACAGGTGGGCGCCTCCTGCTGGTCAAACACAAGATCTGCAGTCATCACTGGAAGGCTGTTTCTTTGACGTTAGGCCCCTTCTATTGATACGTTAAAAATATGTCTGAAATATTTGATACCTCTACCTCACATGTTAGGCAACAGCAGTCAGTGTCCCCCTCCTGAAAACGCCGACGACAACACGGTGTGTGTCGACATGGGCCGGTGTCACAATGGAGAGTGCAACCCGTTCTGCGAAGCCTTGCAGAACCTTCAGTCCTGTGCCTGCAACGGTAAAGAGCAGCTCATTTCTCACAAATGAAAAACTAAATAGTATGACACTTGTTTTTATTTTCATGAATACTATGACGTTTTTTATGACAAATTATATTCTAGCATTTTTTATTTTATTTTTACAATTTTATACCAGACTCTTTTTACAATTTTATACCAGATTTTTTTATAACATTTGTATTCCAGTTGCGGTTATGGCATGTACCAGTACATTAGTCATGCTATGACACCTTTTTACGAGTTTTTTCACTTTTTGTATGAAATATTTTATTGCATTTTTATGACATACTATACTAAGAATCTTTTATGTCAAACTGTACTATGACACTTTAAAGACATTTTTATGACATTTCATACAATACAATTATGTTTGATGACATTTTTAATGACGTTTCTTATGGCATACAATAATATGACAGTTTTTTACTTTTTTACGACATGCTATACTATGACACTTTTTAATTACATTTAGACTGACCGTTTTTATGATCTATTTATGTTCGAGGATAAAGGATTTTTCTAAATGTCAGTGGCTTAATAACATGTTTTAAGAGATCGCTCGCAGGTTTGAATGAATGCTGTGTATGCACTGCGACTGTTAATTAAGAGTATAGTTATTAGAACTTTTTTGCAAACGTATAACACAGTTAATCCCCTCTCACCTCGCAGAGACGGAGGACTCCTGTAAAGTGTGCTGCAGGGGAAAAGATGGCGCCTGCTCTCCTTTCACACAGGGCAATGACACTTTCCTTTTCCTTCGCAAAGGAAAGCCCTGCACTGTGGGCTTCTGTGACGGAGGCGTGAGTCATCCATCTTTTATATCTGTTCACTCTGTCCTACCATGTCTCCACCATGCTTAGTATTTAGTTTTTTTCTTCCCGAACACAGTCCAGCTCTGAAAGGTCCACAGTTATTATGCTTCATTTGGCTGAGTGTCAATGTTCTCTTGTTTAAAACAGGGAAAGTGCATGAAGCAGGTGCAGGATGTGATCGAGAGGTTGTGGGATTTTATCGACAAGCTGGACATCAACACGTTTGGTAAGTTGAATTCTAATCAACCCCATGAGAACATGAGTATCTGGAAAGTCTTTCTTGTTGATTGTAGTAGCTGAGTCTTGTCACCCTGCTTACCTTTCGTCTTTCTGTTTCCGTGTCTCGTCCATCATCACAAACGCCACCTGTCCATCAGGGAAGTTCCTGGCTGATAACATCGTGGGCTCTGTCGTGGTGTTTTCACTCGTCTTCTGGATTCCTCTCAGTATCCTCGTTCACTGTGTGGTAAGAATCAATCTACACTAGTTACCTATTGTCTTCAGTGGGCCATTAACTGCTCCTTTTTGGATCTTTGGTCTTTACAGTAATTACCTAAATTGTTGAACCTTTTTAAATGCTGACCATTTTGTCCCTTTTTGTGTTTCTTTCGCAGGACAAACGACTTGACCAGCAGTATGAAGATAACACAAAGTCCTTTTACTACCCTCCAAGCGTAAGTTTCTCATCTCTCATGCCTTTGTGTGACCCTGTGCCTTGCTGCCACACTAACCAAACTAATACAGTCACACATTAATTTTTTTTTTTAAACACATTGTCGTCTTAAATATGGAAGGGAGAGGAAAGTGTGAAGGTGTGTTGTTCAGGTGGAGGCGTCTGTGTCTAGATCCCTGCGTCATTTGTCAGCATTGAAAGAGGTGCTACAACATGTGCGTTCAGCACAAATCCTGCTTGGTGGGAAAGTAAATAGGATTCAATTAATAAAATAAGGATTTACTTCTTGCATTTGTAACATCAAATGTATTTCTGGTATGTTTGACAGTGATTTAAAAAAAAAAAAAAAAAAAAAAACTTTGAAATTAAGAATTGCTTTTGCAATATTTGAATTAATATCCGATAACAGTTGTGGGGTTGTTTGCGTGTTTTGCATGATCAGAACTCATGCACACAGTCGTGATAATTAGATTAGCTGAGCGTTAAACACTGAATAATAAAATCTAAGGACGTCTCTTTCAACAACGTAAACCTTGATTGTTGCTTATAATTCGGAATATTTGAAGCTTTGAAACCAAGTTATCAGGGGCTTAAAGAAATGCTTTCTGTGGCATCACAAGAGCACAATGCCTTACTTCTTAATTTGACATAGCTTTTATTGGCTTAGTCTTGAAAATACAAGAGGGGAGAGCAGAACACGAATGGATTCAGAATCCGTAAAGGGCCTCGCCTGCCAGGGCCAGGTTCACACTGCCAATGACCTGTCCATCACTCTTTGCCTTGGCCCCTTTCCATTCTCATTGGAACTGCAGCAGATGGTGGAAGTTTGTAGTAGAGCTCCCGCCCTAGGTGAGTGCGTGTGCCATGGCTTTGGTGTTGCGTTGCCATTGAGTCCATGATGATGCATGGTCACCGGCCCACGTTTGGCATACTCCTGCAGTCACTTCCTGCTTGACGTAATCACTGATCAGGTTCCACATTTCACCGAGAGAGATGAAGTGAGCTAACGCTAATTCATGTGAGTGGACAGCGATACGTGTGCTCCTCTGCACCAGAGTCAGATCTGATCAGAAATTACCTCAAGAAAGCAAGATTGCACTTTTTAGGAGTATTCAAACCGAGAGAGGACTGAGAAGGTTGCACTTTGTTGTCTTTTTGTGAAATCGGATGCGGTGTGTGTCAGCGTTTTTTAAGTTTGCATCTGCTGCTGTTAAAGCCACAACAACACAACAACAGGGTCATATTCTTTAGGTGGCTGTTGTTTTGATTTACCTTTTTTCTTTTTCTTTGTGTAATGGCTGTCTGCACTGTTTTTGTTTTAGGTTTGATTGGCAACACGTGGAGACTGAGAGTACATTCCTCTGTAGATCTTTGTCATGGCCGACATTTTGACTTGTAATAGCAGGAACAGCACCGGAGCAACTAATCACATTAACGATGGCTTAAGTCCATTCAGGTGTGACAGTAAGTCCTGTAAGTGAGCCAGTATGCACAAAGCAGGGCCCATGTGCTCCTAAATGGACTGCAGACATTATTAATATCAGTTCCACCTCTGTTTCACAAAATGTCCACCATGAGAAATGTTTGTTTTACTCATTCCCACTTTAAAGGGGACTAATGTCTCTCAGTACAATGGGCTTTAAGGTTTCCATTATTAACTTTGAGCAGAATGGAGTAAAAAGGGAATGGATCCCTCCTCTGTCAGAGACGATCAGCTTCGACGTGCTTTGATCTCACATGTTTTTCTCGCTCTTCAGAGTCAAGACATGCTGAGCAACCTCGAGTCAGCTTCCGTGCGCATCGTCAAGCCTCCTCAGCCTCTGTCCTCCTCCTCCGCCGGCCGGATCGCGCCCTTCTCCCTGCCCCAGCAGCAGAGCCAGGTAGGGGCCTCTCCCGCGGCCAGCACCAGTACCCAGGCCCCCGACCCGAGCTGCGAGCCCACCCCGGACAGCGAAGGGGGGCCGCGGATGGCCACCATCCAGGAGGACACCAGCAGCGACTCTCACCCGGGAGAGGAAGGCCCGTCGGACGATTTCACAACCGCAGGAGCCTCCTCGTTGGTTACGAAATCCTCCTACGAGGATCTGACCGAGCAGAACCCGTCAGCCAAGGAGCGGCGGCGCCTCAAGAGGCAGGAGTGCATTGACACAAAAGAGACAGAGTGCTAAGAGTAAATCACCGGTATGTTTGGGGTTTAGTACCAACTAGGCACCAACACGTACAGGCAGCCTGATGTGTGTTTTAGGGAACATGCAAATACAGGCAGCATCAAATGATCTTTTTTTGTCTTAACCCACTGGCTACATGGTTTCAGAATATGCAACTAAATGCTGGTGCGCAAAGTATCGTCTTCATGGCAATGCAACGTCACCAGTTCGCTCCACTAACAGATGATTTAATGTATCGTTGATGATCGTTGTGCTTATGTTACTGTTTCAAGAAACTCAGTGCGACATGTTAAAAAGCAAACTTTGACTTCAAAATGAGTTTTATCCTGAATCTCTGTGTCATAACTGCACTTGGAGTATTTTTCCACATCACTGGAGAATTGAAATAAGTTTTATACATGTTCTTACTGTGCTGTCATTCATAGTTTATTTTAGCTTGTGAAACATGTCCCCCCCCACTTTCCCCCGTTAAAAGGTTTAGTAAGAGGTTATATTGTCTTTATGAAACAACACGGTGCCTTTTCTGATTTTGTGCCTAACTGTAGATGAACAATCCTGCATTTCATTTTAAAAGAAACTTCCTGAGGTGCCCGAATGTTATTTTTCCGTTTGGTTTTCTGTCCTTGTGGCAATGTGAGTGATGCACCTCTTTGTTATTTTAAGCCGTCTCGCCACTGTTGCCTGCTGTATCACGTTACATAAAGTATGTACTGACTGTCGGTCAAGGAGAAAGAAATACTGTCGCTAACAATAAATACTGGATTGATGTGAACCGTTGTACAAGCAGATGTCCTGTCACATATTCTGTGTATATTCTTCATATTTCTATGTTTATAAAAATCACCTGAGTTCCTTTTTTCTTTTTTTTTTCTTTTTTATTATATAAAGTTTCTTTTTTGGATTTCCTACACATCTCAAAATAAAAATCTTTATTGTGCATTTTAAACCTGAATACATGGTCTCACATTTGACATACTGGTACAAAACAAATCACAGCGGCTTCATTTATTGTAGTAGAGATGCAGTCCAGTGTGCTGGTGAGTGTTTTATTAACAAAATATCCAGCCCTGTAGGATTTGAAAAGGTGGCATCGTCGTCTTCTTCACTGGTCACAGAGCAGACTGCTCTCGGGGCTCTTTGCATCCACGTCTCCCCAGTAAGGCAAGATGAAGGGCAGGTCAGCCACACGGCTCTCCAGCAGCCCCCACAGGTGCTGAGCAATGAACTGGTTTCCCTTCTGTGAGAGATGCAGCCCATCGGACAGATACACGGTGTAGTCCTGCGTAGCGGAGGACACAACAGTGAGACTTTTGTTAAAGTAGGAATTTGAAAGAAGATATTGGGGCATTAGGAAAAATCTCAATACGAGGTTTAGTCACTTATCATTCAGTGTATTTCATATTGAGACATTTAGGAACACTATATTCACATTAATAAAATCGTAAATGTCGTTCAAGATTCTACAGTGGCCTCTAACAACACGTAACAGTTACCCACCTGTCCATCTTTCTGCATGAGTGTCCAAAGGTCCAGGGCGACTGCGCCACACTGACTGGCAACCTGGACACACGCCTGTGCATACTGCCCCGCTGCAGAGTTGTAGCGGTTGAGTGGACATGCTGGAGAAAAAAAAAGGAAGACGAAGCAGCACTGGTGATCTCTGTAGGCGTGGAATGTAAGATTGGCCTGTGTGACGTTACAAAAGCAGGAGAGCGGAAGATTTGTGACTGAGTGTTACCTTTTAGAATACACTCCTTCTCCCAGGCTGGCTCATCAACAGGTGGAGGGGTGATGAATATAACTCGGTCTGCCGGCACTCCAGCCGAGGCCAGAAGCCTGGAGATGTCCCTCAGGTTCTCTGAATACTCCTTCAGAGGGACGTGCTGTTGTGGGTTTTTATCTGCATGACAGGAAGAAGAAAGAAGGAAAAATCATACAGAAACATTAAGATGGAATGATTCATTATTAGAGATAATATTTTCTATGTTAAAACATTGTTTTTAATTAGTCATTTTGATAATCCCAAAAAGACTAAGCAGTGAATTGCAGAGTCTGGAAACATTTAAAGGTGCACTCCAGTAATTAGTATTGCACTTAGATCATTTAAGCAGCTTAAGTTGACACATCCTGACTTTTAGTCTCAAGTATGGACAAAGCTCCAAACACACTGGATCCTACATTGTGAAACAGGATCTTGTCTCCGTGCCAGTAAATATCCTCGCGTTATAAGCCGGTTTGGAACATGTGTTCACAATGGGAGAGTGTAAAATGTAGTAAACAGAAAGATGTGTCATTGTGGACTTTATTGTCACACAACTCAATGCACATTAAGGACATTAAGGTTGTTCTCACAACTCCGAGAGAGATTAAAAAAATAAATAAATTCAGGAAAACTATTATGTTTTTAGTGGTCAGATTAAATGTCATAATATAGTGTTTCATAGTATCGTGTTTTATGAAATACTATATTGTGAAACAGTATTAAAATGTCATAATATAAGGTTTCATAAAAAAAGTAATTCAATGTCAATTAAAATGTACTTCACTCTGGAGACCTTCTGTAGGTCATTTTGGGCTACAGTGTGTAAGAATAGTAACCGTATTCTATATTTTTCATATCTAAATAAATCTATAGATGTTAAGTGCCCTTTAGTTGGCTCCCCTGGCCCAGGTTGCCTACCTTAATGATACATACTTCTGACATCAGACACAGAGAGCTTGCAGCAGTGTATTTATCATTACTAAACTTCTTAAATTGTCATGAGAGGTTGTGTCTGTGACATTGTACCTTCCAGTGCACAGTCGTTGGCTCCAAAGAAGACAGTGACAGCAGCTATGTTGTTGTCTGCTGCGTTTGTGATGTTGATGAGGCGAGGAAGAAGTAGTTTAGCCCATCTGGAGTTGTAGCCAGACAGTCCTCTGTTTACAACATCACACTTTCTAAAAAGGAACATACAGTGGGTACGGAAAGTATTCAGACCCCTTTAAATTTTTCACTCTTTGTTTCATTGCAGCCATTTGCTAAAATCAAAAAAGTTCATTTTATTTCTCATTAATGTACACTCAGCACCCCATCTTGACAGAAAAAAACAGAAATGTAGAAATTTTTGCAAATTTATTAAAAAAGAAAAACTGAAATATCACATGGTCATAAGTATTCAGACCCTTTGCTGTGACACTCATATTTAACTCACATGCTGTCCATTTCTTCTGATCCTCCTTGAGATGGTTCTACTCCTTCATTGGAGTCCAGCTGTGTTTAATTAAACTGATTGGACTTGATTAGGAAAGGCACACACCTGTCTATATAAGACCTTACAGCTCACAGTGCATGTCAGCAAATGAGAATCATGAGGTCGAAGGAACTGCCCAAGGAGCTCAGAGACAGAATTGTGGCAAGGCACAGATCTGGCCAAGGTTACAAAAGAATTTCTGCAGCACTCAAGGTTCCTAAGAGCACAGTGGCCTCCATAATCCTTAAATGGAAGAAGTTTGGGACGACCAGAACTCTTCCTAGACCTGGCCGTCCAGCCAAACTGAGCAATCGTAGAAGAAGAGCCTTGGTGAGAGAGGTAAAGAAGAACCCTAAGATCACTGTGGCTGAGCTCCAGAGATGCAGTAGGGAGATGGGAGAAAGTTCCACAAAGTCAACTATCACTGCAGCCCTCCACCAGTCGGGGCTTTATGGCAGAGTGGCCCGACGGAAGTCTCTCCTCAGTGCAAGACATATGAAAGCCCGCATAGAGTTTGCCAAAAAACACCTGAAGGACTCCCAGACTATGAGAAATAAGATTCTCTGGTCTGATGAGACCAAGATTGAACTTTTTGGCGTTAATTCTAAGTGGTATGTGTGGAGAAAACCAGGCACTGCTCATCACCTGCCCAATACAATCTCAACAGTGAAACATGGTGGTGGCAGCATCATGCTATGGGGGTGTTTTTCAGCTGCAGGGACAGGACGACTGGTTGCAATTGAAGGAAAGATGAATGCGGCCAAGTACAGAGATATCCTGGAAGAAAACCTCTTCCAGAGTGCTCTGGACCTCAGACTGGGCCGAAGGTTCACCTTCCAACAACACAATGACCCTAAGCACACAGCTAAAATAACAAAGGAGTGGCTTCGGAACAACTCTGTGACCATTCTTGACTGGCCCAGCCAGAGCCCTGACCTAAACACAATTGAGCATCTCTGGAGAGACCTGAAAATGGCTGTCCACCAACGTTCACCATCCAACCTGACGGAACTGGAGAGGATCTGCAAGGAAGAATGGCAGAGGATCCCCAAATCCAGGTGTGAAAAACTTGTTGCATCATTCCCAAGAAGACTCATGGCTGTACTAGCTCAAAAGGGTGCTTCTACTCAATACTGAGCAAAGGGTCTGAATACTTATGACCATGTGATATTTCAGTTTTTCTTTTTTAATAAATTTGCAAAAATTTCTACATTTATGTTTTTTTCTGTCAAGATGGGGTGCTGAGTGTACATTAATGAGAAATAAAATGAACTTTTTTGATTTTAGAAAATGGCTGCAATGAAACAGAGTGAAAAATTTAAAGGGGTCTGAATACTTTCCGTACCCACTGTACATCAGATTCAGATATTAGTCAAAGGCACACCATTTAGTTTGGCTGAACTGATCACTTTTATGGGAACCAAAAACACTCACCGTGCTAGTTTGTTGGCAATTTCTGCACCCCAACCATTGGCTTGAAATGAAAACTGAAAGAATCAACAGCACTAAGTTATTCATTGCAAACTTAAGCTGGCCAGCTAGCAGCCAATGCTAAATACACGACTGTTACTGACTGTTGGCTTGCATGACATCACAGTCTTTAAAATTAAGATTGTGCACGAGCTAACCTGTGTGATGGAGTCCCCGAATAAAATCACTTTGGGCCATGTTACTGTTTTGAATTTAGACATTACAACTGGCTGCACCATTCACTGTATACGAAAAGGGCTGCACGAGACTGGACTTCCGGTTAGGGGTGTGTGACGTATTACCACACGTCACAATAAAAGTTTTAACATCATGACTTCTTTACATGTATTATATTAAGCTAAATAATGCATTAAAAAAATATAATACAAATGTAAAAATATAATATAATTAGAAAATAAATGCAATAAAAAAATCTGGATTTATATCAATAAAAGGTAGACTTAATAATATTACAAATTATCTGTAGAGCGCGATACAGCAGCAACACAAACAACATCCATCCTTCAAAATGATCATTGGGTTGAGTCAACACCTTTCTAAAACACGTTCATTAAAAACTGAATATTATAACCTTATTCAAGATAGAATTTGTTGCAGGACTGTTGTATTAGACGACATTACTTTTTTAATTTATACAAGTTGTACAATATTTCAAACTACATAGATATGCGTTAAACTTCTGGTATGTGTCTATTCAAAGTAGTTGAACGTCATAGGCAGAAATCAACATATTGATTCCTTTGTATCGTGTAATCTTTTACTTTACTGTTTCATTAGATGAGCCGCTATCGGCGTCCCGGAAGTATTGTCTTATCCACACTCCGGAGCAGAGGGTGGCGGTAATGCACCAATAAACTGGATGCCAACCGCCGTAAAACCAGAAGAAGAAGAAGAATCGTCCCGGAAGTCTTGTTTAGACCCGGCAAACATGGCGGAGGTCAGACTGCTGTACGGAAGGGAAGCCTACAGTTTTGCACGAAAAACATGTAGTCGATACCACCTTGAAAGTCAGATTAAGCATAAGGACATAAGGACCGTTGGAGTTTCACGGGATAGTTACACAAGGGTAACACCACTGTCTGGTAGTGTTAACAATGTCTGGGATCGCTATTATCTTGGACTCAACAAAGAGTCGTGTCTTTATAAAGGACAGATTCAAAATATAGAGAAACTTCTACCTCGGTACCGAACAAAGTCCCGGAGGACTCTTCGGTCCGCTCGTGGACACCAGAGCCTCGGCTTGTTTTGGGGACAGTTTGTGTTCATCAGAGCTTACAGCGACACACGATCTGAGCCCCTTTACAAAACCAAAACAGGCTACTATGACGTACTGGAGGTGTCACCCACTGCCACTCAGACCCAGGTAAAAACGGGCTACTACAAGCAGTCCTTCATCTACCACCCGGACAGAAACGCCGCCAGCGAGGACGCCACGGTCCGCTTCGCTGAGATCAGCGAGGCATACACCGTGCTGGGCAACAAGGCACTGAGGAAGAAATACGACCGGGGTCTGCTGAGTCAGTCGGACCTCATCGCGACGGCCAGACCCTCCGCCAAGGGCGCAGGGAGCTCCGCCAGAGACCCCACCGAGGGCCAGCGGTCCGCGGTGAGCGTAGACAACCGAGTCTTTGATTTCGACAAGTTCTTCAAGGAACACTACAGCGAGCAGCTTCAGAGAGAACGAGACTTCCGAGTCCGCAAAGAGGAGATGCTGAGGAAGAAGGAGGAGACGATCGCGGAGAAGAAGATGGGCAGGATGATGGAGATGGGAGTTGTGGCGCTGATATTGATGGCGTTGGGTTTAGTGAAAAGTTTGCAGCGAGGATGAAGATCGTTCAGGTGGAGGATGTTGTCCTTGTTTAGGAATGCTGGACTCACTTGAATCATCACCATTAACACTACAACAAACAACAACACTGCTCTTAAACACCCTCTGTTTTGACCCTCGATTACAATAATGGAATATTGTGCAATATAATTTAACATCATCCTTTGGGTCAAAGCCACACAGTGCAATTAACATCTGAACAAAATGGCCAAATTATTATTTAAATCAGTAATTATCTGATTAAATAAGATTATCAACTTTGGCTTTTATAAAGTCATCTGTCTTGCAGATTTCTTTATTTTTAATGACAAGTTTTGACGATGGTTTCATGTATTGCTATTTATGAAACATTTGTAGCAATGTAAGGAAGTAAGGGATGTGTGTATCAGTCATATATTGAGAGCCCCATGCTTATAACAAAAGGTGCCTTGGGATATATTTATTGTAAAAATGAACACTGTTCAGATGTTTAATAAATGACATGATCAATGCCTGGCAGAGCACAGTGAAACAAATGTTGCTCGAGTCTTTTGTTAGTCAACATTACACCAACACTGATTCACTGTAAACCTCAGTTAAAGAACTTTTCTGACACTAGCTGGTGAAATAAATAATCAAAACTTAACCAAAGGCATAGTCGTTCAGGAGTCGATGGTTTGTAAAATCCATTTTTAAATGTAGAATGAACACAAACATTTAGTGCATTTAGAGATCCACAGTTCACGTCACAGTTAAAAGTAAACAAGTCATATCAGTGCACATTAATAACCAACTCTGGTCAAACAAAACCCACAGTGCATTACATGAAGACAGTAAACGTATTAAATATATTAAAAGTGCTTGCATAACAAAAAAGAAACTAAAATCTATCAAGACAAATTCTATCTACACAGCTTATTAAATTACATTTTTTTTCTTTTTACTTGGTAGCTCACAAAACATTAAGTTCATTATTAAAAGGCCAATCTAGTCTTTCCAAATGGCACTCATAAAGTGGGACTGGGATTGGTTGCTGAGGCTTCCCATGACACCAAGCCAGACATGGCAGGTGCGTGATGATTTGAAACGGTGTCACAATGATTCTCAGGAACACGTTATCCCATTTTTTAACACACAAATACAAGCGCCGTGTTAACTTCCAACACTGAATTTGTAGAAGTATTCTTTGTTTTCACATCTGTGATGGCTTAGCTTCAGAAACTCTGTCCCTCGTTAGTTCACGGGCGATGTCCAGTTTGTTGTGATGAACACTACAGTCCCGTCCGCGCTCTCAGATGACCGGGTTGAGGGCGTCATAGAGCCGCTGCACTGCCAGCTCAACCATCTCTCTCAGGGAGTCGTCCTCTGAGCATTCCTCCTCGTAGCACACCGACTGATAGGGGGAGAGCGAGTCAGTGAGAGGGATACAATAAATCCACATACATTGTTCTGTGTCTTGGTGCGACAGGCTAAAAGCTTCTCACCCTCGTTTCCAAGCAGATGTGAACCGTCTTCCCATCTACTGTCACAGAGATGTTTTTATCATCACTGAAATCCACACATTCCTCTCCAAACATGTCCCTGAAGACAGAGAGAGAAGCAAGATATGCTATCATAAATAAAGTAAAGCGCAGTACACCTTTTAAACACAGTGTTTCCATGTTTACAATATTATAAAAGAGTTCGTATTGGATTGCGTGTCACTCACTGCAACATGACTCCTAGTCGGGTCTGGAAGATGTCCATGTCCATGATGGCACTCTGGGTCTCCATGGCTGTCAATCATGAATCACATTAAATAGGAATTCAGAAAAAACAAAGCCCATGACAATAACAAGACACGATGCCTTATGCTTCTTTTTTTGTAACTAGGCAAATGGGTTCAAATGAAACTTCCTACGGTCCATAAAGCATTCGAAACTAAAGATCCAGATAAACAACAAACATGGCAGATTGTCAGACGGACCTTTCTGTGCCTTTGGGTTTGACTGCACTTCCAGCACTACAGTGGTGACAGCGTCGGCATACATGTCGTTGAGAGGGTTTGCTAGCCACTGCGACAGGAGATGAAGACAAAGGGTGTTTGGGTAAATGAGCCCCGTCTGAAGAGAGCAAAGTGTTGCTATCGTGCATCAGACTAAGCAGGACCACAGGACGCCCGACCACTCACCTCCAGCACCACCATGCCGACCTCGTGGACCAGAGTGATGTTTTTAAAAATCTTCAAAGTGTTCTTCTCAGTTCCATCCAGTTCCTCTACGTCACCTGAGTCAAGAGACAAAAAGAAGAAGACAGCCACAGTCAGTACGGTGTAAACTCAAACTCACAAAGTTTGCACAGACGTAAACATGGCGGCCTTACCGGTGAGGTTCCTCAGATGGCAGACGAGCAGTGAGTAAGGTCCAGTGAACGGGATGGCCTGGCTTTGTTTCACTGTGCTCATGGCCAGCTCTGTATATGCTACAAAACAGAAGCATCGGGTCAATTCATGATGCCTCAGATATTAAAAGAATGGGCAGCAGTTTGAGTAAACAAGTAGGCAGTTTCTTCTTTCAGACACGTAACTTTCATCATTATTTTAAGCATGGGCTTGGCTTATGAAAAGCTGGAGCCAACATGATCAAGAAGATTACCCTTTTTTTTTTGGTCTTGATTCCCAAAGTCACTGCCTGAAAATTGACTCAGATTCTCAAATGTATTGTAGCCAATGAACTGGATCGACTGGGGCTGACTACCAACGCACACAGGTGGCCCTGTGCTGCAGCCTGCAGGTGAGACAGTTTGGAGAACTCAAAAAAAAAAAAAAAAAACTTACTAGAAAGGTCAGAAGGATTGAGGATGTGGTAGTTGAAGTTCTTTTTCACCAGTATGCCTGACACCCTCTGGCCCTGGGCACACTTCTTATCAGCCAGAGAGCCCATCACCTGGAGGGGGAGTAGTGTTCACTTCTAGTGTCAGCAGCATTTTTAACAACACCAGCACAGGGTCACGTACTACATGCAACAATCACGAGGTAGCATTTTTTTTTTGCTATAGAGACTTCTTCAGACCGTAAAAATCTAGAGAGAAGAAAAATAAAAGGTCAGAGACAGACAGGCAGTTTATTGACCTTGGCCAGTTTCTCTCCCCTGAAGTTGAGGGTGACAGCTTCTGTGTTGCGAGGGTTGTGGACTTCGATGTGAACCTGGTCATTATCCTCGTACTCCCTGATCAGCGCAGCCTTCAGACGGGCCATTTCATTCTGCTCCCCGTGGACCAGGATCTGACGATAACATGCAAGTGAGGAAGGTCAAGGACTTTCATTTACGACTGCTGTCACTGAAGGGTACAAACAACGGAGAATTCAATGAGTTATTTATTTTCTCTCCTACCACATGAGGTGGTTTGAGGGCCCTGATGAACTCGCTGGTCTGCTGGTAGTCAGTGTGGGCAGAGAAAGAGATGTAGTCCACGGACATCTTCAGCTGCAGCTTCTGCCCTGACATGGTGGTGATCTCCTCCGGCTCAGACATGATGTGCTGCAGAGAGACACACGACACATCACAGTAAGACGCTGTAATAACACATTCACTGTATCTGTCTATTATCTATCTGTTATTAGAGAAACAGCGTCTGGGATCCTGTTGTAGTCGGACCTTGGCCAGTGTGCCCTCTACACAGTATCCAGCGATGATGACTCCGTTCCTCTTATCGGTGCACCAGCTCTCAAAAAGCTCTCTGGAGAGCCCGCTCTGCATCATACCAGGAGAGGCCATCACCACACTGGGACCGATGTCATCAAAGTGATCCATGCTCTGGAAAAAAAACAACACACACACAGACACACCACTGTTATATAGATTCAGCAGCCTAAATCCATAACAGTCTGTATATGTAGAGCTCTCTACCTTGAGGTTGCTGATGTGCTTGAAGACAAAAGGGTTGTTGATATTGATGGCTTTGCGGATCTTGTCGTTCATTGCGTTGACGTAGGTCTGGTACACAGCCATGCACTTCTTGGCCAGGGATGATGCATAGTAGATGGGGATGTCATGGAGCTCCGGGTGGTTCTGCCAGTACTCATCTGCAGGAGAACGTGAGACACAATCATACAGACTCCTCTGATTGACACATAATCGAATACAGATGCAACAGACAAAACATGCAATACAACGCAGGTATTAAGCAGAGAAAAGGGTCATATAAATGATAGCATAGCGGTGAAACTGCCTATTCAGAGGCGTAATCCATATCAGAACTCCTCACCCAGAATGAGCAGCAGTTCCTGGGCCCGCCCCAAGGCGAACACGGGGATTAAACAGCGGCCTTCTCTGTTGACGATGTCATGGACCGTGTTACAGAAGCGAGCTTCTCGCTCCTCCCTCTTCTCGTGGATGTGGGTGCCGTAGGTAGACTCCTGCAAAAGAATAACAGGATTCACCGCATTGGGATCACCCAAAGATCCATTAAAATGAGTGTACAAGGTGATTGAATATGTGGCGTACTATGATTAAGATGTCAGGTTTGACACTGGGGATCTCTGCTGCCATCAGATGCCGGTCTTCCTGCCGGGAGAAGTCTCCCGTGTACAGCAGCTAAACAGGCCGACAAAGGTCTCGTTAAGTGAACTTAGTTTGTATGCATCATTAGATCTCTCGGGAACAAAAACCAAGAGTCGTTTACCTTGACTCCTGCTATTTCGATCATGAACATGGCCGCTCCCAGCACATGACCAGCGTGGTAGCACCAGAACTTGATTCCAGCCACCTCCTTGACCTCGTGGAAGTTGATGGTCTCGATCTTATCCATGCTCTCCTCCAGGTCAGTCTCGGTGTACAGCATGTCATCTGCAGAAATGTTGCTGCGATAAATCAAAGACAAAACGATTGCGGGTACTGTATTATTATTTTTTGGAAGTTTTCCACAATGATGACTGCTGCTGCTCCTACCTGACTTTGACGTAGTCCGACAGTAGCCAGCGGTAGATGGCCTTAGTGGCGTGGGTCATGAAAGTCCTGCCTTTAAAGCTGGTCTTTTGTAGGAACCAGGGCAGAGCTCCACAGTGATCCAAGTGGAAACTGGTGAGAGGATACAGACATCATTATCAAATGACACATCCTTAGTTATGTTTTAGAATACAATCAAAGTAGAATGCATTAATAAGGAGATAACCGATACAGAGGATACTTAAAAATAGAGAGTTCAACACATAGAGGGAGGAGGAAAGACTCACTGGCTGATGAGCAGCAGGTCTATCTCAGCTGGGTCTATCAAGTCTATGTAGGGGAGAGCATCCATCCCCTCCAACCCGGGGTGGATACCACAGTCCAGCTGCAAAACACAAAAATGACTTATTTCACCCAGGATAACGCACTCAATATCAATACTGCTTTTCAGGGAGTCCTGGGTACACAGGACTATATAAAACAACAACAAAATAATTAAAACATATAAAATAAAAACAACACACAGCCTATTGGAGCCTACACAAAATAAGAACATAGAATTACATGTTTAGATAGTTATTGCTGTTCTATAATATAGATGTGTGGTGGGGTTAAAAAATAATATTTTATCTCTTAAATGAAGACAAAAATATTTACCATAATTTTCCTTCCTTTGAACTCCAGGATGATGCATGACCTCCCAACCTCCTGACCAGCGCCCCTGTAGGTAACGTTACATAAGAATATAGCGTTAAAGCGAACGTTACATTTATGTATTGCTATTATATTTGCATATTGAGGCAGCCATTCAAAACCTGTATTCATTAAAAAATAAATAAAATAAATAACTCACAGTGGACGAATTAGCAGCTGGTCACTCTCCTCTGCGGGGACAATCACCTCTACTTTGCGCTTAGTCGCCATGTTTGTTAAATTTCGCACGTAAATATTAAAATAGAACAAATAAATGCGGTCATACTGCGCTGCACGACCTGCTGCACTGTTTGTTGCATGAATGAGAGAGAGAGAGGGGGGCGGAGTCATGTGACGTCAGACTTCCGGTGGTGTACCAAAATACAGCCGACCAGAAATTCAAAAGCGTTGACACAGAAAGTTCCGCTACAGCAGTTGGACGCTTTTTCTGCGGTAACGAATTCAAATTAATAACACGATTAAATGTTACACAGGACACGGTACTCCAAAAATATATGTAAATAACATTTGTGTGGTTTAAACTTTTGTACACACTTAACAATATATATTATTGAAAGGGCTCTCGGCCCAATATTCAACTTTAGAGACATTTTTTAGGCGAGTACTTCGTCGCGTCCCCTTTAAGTGGTGTTGGGTGTAGGCTGTGAAACTCTGCGGACAGCTGAGTCAAACTGAAGGTAAAACAAAATCTACCTCGAAGAACATTAACATTAAGACGGTTACTGTAAAAAAAAAAACAACGGGTATGTCTTTAAATCTATTTAATATAATAGCGTTTGTGTTTGCCAACCACTCGTGAAAGTCTCTCCGCTTTCCAACTTCAGTGTGAAAATAAATGTGATGGTGATATTTATAGGTCTTCTGCTAGCACGTAGGTTACAAGTTAATATCGTTAAATAACGAGCAAAGTCTAGCTGGATACATGATGCGTGGAAGTCTGACGTAACCTGTTGAGTCTGGTGTGTCATTTGAGTCATTAGGGGTTCTACATTTTGTATGGCCCCCAACATCAGGTGTAACGGATCAATTGGTTTCAAATTTAACTGGTGATCTGCATAAATACAGGCAAAAAAAAGGGCCAGCATTTTATTAAACACCTCTGACATTCACTCAATATTAGAGGCACCACAGAGATAGTGTGTATTACAGTGTTATGGTATTATGTGCTGGTGTTGTTTCATTATTTAACAGCTAACTTGTTTTCTAACCATCTGGCCATCTCAAAATTTTTTTGGATTCACACTTTTATTTTGTAAGGCTGCATAGCTAAGTTGCTGATATGCTTAATCATATTTTGTGTGGATGATGACTGCGTTGTGTTGTAGAGATCTTGATCTTAATGAGGTGTGAATAAATAAATAAAGCATAACTTACTAATACTCCTATATTGTGAGTGGCTGTGCAGTAAAAAACTGAATCATGCTAAAAGGATTATAATGTAGCTGAATGTCTACTCTTGTTAATCCATTATTCAGAACATTTAATTATTCATCCTCTCCACTGGGACGTGAGAGGGCATTGTGGTGATGTGTTTAACGCTGCGGTCCATGATGGTTCAGGTGTGGTGAGGCTGGAGAGGGCTGGATGCGTTCGACATGGTGAAGAATGTTCCGGAAAGTCAAGAAGCGCCACAGCAGCAGCAGCTCGCAAAGCAGTGAGATCAGCACCAAAAGCAAAGTAAGCAAACAACTTTGCTTGTGTGTGCGTACACACACACACACACACACATACATGTTATGATCGAGCTACTTTCTCCTTGTTGAGCCAACACCCTCTCGTGTCTCTGACTCCATGTAGTCTGTGGACTCCAGTTTGGGAGGGCTCTCCAGATCCAGCACGGTCGCCAGCCTCGATACAGACTCCACCAAGAGCTCAGGTCAGTCGACCAACACACGGAAGTCGACATATTTCCTGCTTCTTCTTTTCTTTACTAACGGATTATTCGACGTGTGCCCTCGGAAAGGAAACAGCACGTCTGAAACATGTGCCGAGTTCCGGGTGAAGTACGTGGGAGCCGTTGAGAAGTTACAGTTTGACATGAGCAAGACCCTCCAGGAGCCTCTGGACCTCATCAACTATATCGATGCAGCCCAGGTAAGAAAAGCCACGGGGACACACTTCAAGTAGGCTTCCAAGCAAGTCAATATCACATCATTCATTCATGAAGATGCTGTAAATATTCACAGCAAGACGGAAAGCTGCCCTTCGTGCCCGGAGACGAAGAGAGGATTCTGGGAGTGTCGAAGTACGGAGTCAAGGTGGCCTCGCTGGACCAGTGTGTGAGTAGAAAAGTGATATACTGTACTCCAGAGTTAATGCTCATTGATCAGACTGCAGTATTGCTGGGTCATCACCACAGCCACACAGCATGCTTATGAACTCAGCACCAATTTATAGTTTTGACACGGTTCCGCAGAAAGCTGCTGACTCAAATATTTCATCAGTTCCCCTGATGTTTGGAGTAATTCCACCTTGATCGGCGATGGTTATGTACTACAAATGAAGAAGAAATGTATGCTTAAGTAGTTTTAATCGTACATCTGGTCCAGGATGTGCTGCACCGCCACCCGCTGTACCTGATCGTGCGCATGCTGTGTTACGATGACGGCCTGGGTGCAGGGAAGAACCTCCTGGCTCTCAAAACCACCAACGCAGAGCAAGAGGAGTGCAGCATCTGGGTGTACCAGTGCAGCAGCTCGGTGAGTGTGATAACGTATCGAATGAAACGAAAGTTTTTCCGGGTTTGAGGTATTTCCCCCAACATGTTATCTATCACCTGTCTCCACAGGAGCAGGCTCAGTCCATCTGCAAGGTGCTGTCGGCTTCCTTCGACTGCGCTCTGACGTCAGTCAAATCCTGAGGGAGCTGAGATCTGTGGAGAAGAGAAATGAAACAACCGCAAAAACCAGCAACAGTAAATCAGAAGATCGCCAAACAATTGCAACCATTTCCCCCTTTTCTCCTACTTTGTTTTCTCAAGGAGAGATTAACTGGAAGACAAATCCGTCTTCCAGTTTTCCATGTGAGTTTGCAGGAAAGCGTGATTCACGCCTTTGTATCGACGACAAAGTCGCGTCATGCTGACTTTGTGATAATATTATCCCCTTCCCATCAGGTGAGACAGAACTACTGTGAACTTGTCTGAATCATTTCCTTTGAAGTTGTTTCTTTACCTCACGAGCTCCTTCGACCTGTCACTTAAAGTCAAGAGCAAAAATGGAAAGTTAAAAAAAAAAAAAAAAAAAAGGAAATGGTAGTATTTCTTAATGCATTGCACAATGTAAATGAATCGTATTTAAAGCAAACAACGGTATAAAATGGTACATAATGCTGTGACTCCTCTCCAGCAGCTGAGTCAGTGGACATTCATCAGAAGAGAAACTACACGGTACACATATTTCACAATATTTCTTTCTCTTCACGTGGAAACTACTCGGATCCCTTTTGAAGTTTAAATATCCTTTTGTGTGTTTTGTTGTTTTTCACAGTATTGGTACAATAGCAGTCACTTTTTTTGACTCGATGGTACATTATACAAATATGCTTGAACTGTGTGAGAGGAGCCTCATTTATAATGAGTTTTGACTTTTGTTGTATCTTGTTTTAAGTTTCTTTATAATGTAGTGTTTGTTGGTACCAAAAGTTTGACGTGTTTTCGGATTTGTTAACTCTTTGTTTTTATGTAGTGATTAAAATGCATTAAATCCATTCACTTGCTGAAACCACATGAATCCTATTAGGCTGTAGAAGCACAAAAGACTTGTTTACAATCGTGGTACTTACCCAACTTCCCCTTGAACATAATAATAGCCGTTCTCTCTTTTCTGTCCTTTCAACACGGCCTTGTTAAGATTGTATGGAAAATATGACATTGAATAATTTGATCTAATTGCAATTAGTTGACTTATTAAAGTGTAATTTCTCCTTTTTCTTTCAGTGTCACCTTTTACTTTTGAGTGTCTTTTACATGCTTTGTCTTTTAATTATCAATCGTTGCAGTTTTTGCCTGGGTGAGTGCTCGTAAAAATGATATTTCTTCCCCCCAAACGTATCACAATATGTCTTTACACTGCAGCGCTCTGATACTTGGATGCAAACATACTGAAACACTGCCCATCAGAGGGAGCCCTTGACACATCAGACTTTTATTGTGAAGGATCTCACTCGTCAAATGGTGTTTTTAAATGCAGGTCCCTTTTGAGATGCAGTCGTTTTGAGATGTAATATCCCCCCAAAAAACACAATTTAGCAAAACCAGCAATAATTCAGTGAGATCACAAACTCCTTAACGCTCCTAAGAAACAGACCAAAGTCGTGTATTATTTCATCTTTTATTATTCCAGTTTCATTTTCCCATTTGTTTGCACAATAGAGTGAAGAGTCGATGCAGTAATCCAGACAGTTAATGTGAATGAATTACGTTTATTGTCCCAGTTGTGTGTGTGTGCTGAAATCACAAGTACACACACACACACACAGGTCCAGCTGAGACTGTAACTACTCACCACAGACCATTAAAAGACATTTAGTGCCCAGGTTAACTCTTCTTTTTACATATAAATATCAACAAAATCAGAACTATTTACACAAATAGATAATTAAATCTTCCTGTTTCCAGTGAGTTCATATTAAACATGATGAAGAGTGCATCAGCTACGATTCACATGCTTCTCGTCATTCACAAATCCAAGGAAGGCTCTGGTTTCAGGTTAAATGCTTAAATATCAACATTATGAACAGAGAGAAAGTTGCTTTGCAACCAAAAGGAAGTTAATTACATCGAATGTTTGATATTTATCTCGTAACACAATTGATAAATCCATCTTTCTACATTATGGGACCCCAGAGATGTACAGATATGAGAGGCTTAAGCTGTAGGAAGGATATTTCTTTCTCTGTATAGAGTCAAAGATAATTCAGCTCATTTGCAAACAACAAAAAAAAACACCTGTCGGAGTCCGAGTGCTCTCAAAGGCAAGAAGAAGCAACACAAGTCAGAGAACCAACTCCTGCTTCTCATAACATTCCCACACCCTTTTTAGTTTCTCTTACTTCAATATTTCATCCTCAGCTTATTCTGTGCAGACGAGATACTTCCTGTTCCTCTAATAAGGCAGATGACAGGCAAAGACAGCCCGAGGTGTCAGACTCGGCCTAAAGGTAATTACTGGCTGCTGCCGCTCAAGTCCGTGTCAGCATTACACTTAAAACACTACGGGGAGAAGAACTAGAGTGTTGCTGTAGAATATTATCCTCTCCAATGAAGCAGTACAGGAAGTGTGTGTGTGCGTGGAGAAGCTGCTCCATCCATCTACACACCCATGAGAAGGTGACTTCTCCCAGGTGTGGTGAGTCCGAGGGTATTTTTCAATGCCAGTCCGTCTTTGAAACGGGGACAGGGAAGCGATCCCTCGAGGGCAACTTCTAGCATATTCCGGGGTTAACTTAGCACCATTAGAGAAACCTCCCTACAGGAGGCCTACTACAGAGTTGAAAGGTCGCACCTATAAGCAGTTAGGCATTTAAGAATCGCTCATGCACAGAGGTGGAATGTTAGCATGTTGCCTATGTTCACATTTACATTTGTTCGAAAAGTTAAAATACATTGCAGTAGCCTTCGCAGTACTAACTGTACAATGCAGCTAAACAGAAAATGGAGGATGTGAATACTGTACAAATGAACCTTCATTATGTCACATGTCATCTTATGCCGTAACAAGGATAAAGACAAGCGAAGTGCATTTATTGCGAGAGGTCATAGACTACAATCATTGTTTGTAAATATTACAGTCTTTTGTCAGAACATGAACAGCAAGCATTAAAACGCACACGCAGTCCCACGAGGCCGAGCAGCAAGCAGCGACTTCCAGATGTTGCAGCCGAGGGGACGACACGGCAGTGACACTTTAAGAAGCTCGCTGATGATGACGATGAGGATGATGATGTCAACAACAAACAGTGGGACGATGGTGGATGTTTGCTGGCTGAAGAGAGACGGGTGAAGGAGGGACGCCGCACCCTGCGACACTTCCCGAGACCCAGAGAGGAACCGTTCAGTCAGCAATGAAGTGTACAAATGTAACAGGGAAGGCTCCCCTTCTAATCGGATCGCCTTCGATGTGGCCCATCTGTGGAGAGGGAAGAACGAGGTGACGTCAGAGGACGATAAAAGGCAGCTCGTTGTAGTCAGGTTGGGTTCAATCATTTGACTGCTTTCAACCAAATAAGTCATCTAAAGCACATTCACGGGACTATAAACACCACCAAACATTAGGGCTGGGTTCTCTGATCGCTATTGAAAGATTCAATATCGATTCTTAAAATCACAAAGCTGATCGGCCTTTTCTCAGTGGACATACGTGTGTAATAAATATTCTAATAAATGATCCAGTTAGGATGCATATTGTGTAGAATGTCTAGATAGTGGAAATCCAGTTATTACAACATTCAGTACAGTAACATATTTGATAGCTATATGTGTAATAAAAATACAAAATCATTTAATCTAATTTGAAATTTAAAAATACTTAAAAACATCTGATTTAAAAAATTAAAAGCTGACAACCGCTTTTATATTTTTTCAAAATACAAACATTGAAGTGAATCAGGAGATCAGTGCCAACAGCTCACCTCACTAAACAACTAATGGAGCACAGAGTGGACTATGAGAGGCTAAAACACAATTACGTCGTATTAAATAACATTTAATACGACATTCACACTTTATATTACCTTAGCCGATAAAGAAGACAGAACTTATTATGTCCATTAAAGTCATTTTAAACTTCTCCTATACCTGAAAACAAAAAGCTAGGACTTGTTTCTGCTCCAACAATGTATATACAAGGCTACGAGAGAAACACAACAAGCCATTGAGGAAATAAATACAGAACAAGCAGCAATTTGTTCATACAGTCTAAACTAGAAAACTACGGTGGCCCAAAGGTGTCTAACAAATGCAAAAGCAACAACGCAAATGCAAAAGCCGGAAGTGAGAAACTATGGATGTTAACAAGTAAACGGGCAGACTATTATTGCTGGAGGACTATTATTAGGCTCCTTCCAGATGAGCCAGGCCTGCGCAGGATTGATCACCTGCAATCACTGCAATATGCACGTCGGCTCGGTTCGAGTCCAAATTGATTCCGACTTGCGCTGACGTCAAGCACACGTGGGCGATGATAACCTCACGAGATCGAGACAGAGCCAGGCGCCGCAGCTGCTCTCCACCGACTGAAAGACCAAGTGCATGATGGGAAACGCCTAGCTGTCTCTCTGATACTCTCTAGACACCGTGTCTGTAGAAAATCTAACTTATTTTTGTGTGATTGTAATATTTAACTAATTGAACTAGTCTCATGTTGTACAGTGAATGTTTAATCTGTTAATATGTGGATGATAAGATTAAAAATAAAGGTATTTATGTAGCACTTATCAAAACGAGCAATTACAAAGTGCTATACGAGGGGAAAAAAGAACAAAGGGTAGAATACAATGCTAGATACTCACACACGTCCACATATGTTTAACATTACATTGCATTGTTGCTTTTGCATTCATTCGACGCTTCTCAGCCACCACAAGAATCTTACTTCTATTATTTTTTTTGACTTCTCTTCCGAAGTATCTTTATATTCAGAAATTAAAAAATTAAACGTGGTAGTTGTGATAACGCTGCCGATTGCAGGACAGAGTGGAAGCATGGCAGCGATCCCGGGGGACTTTAGGGTCCACGCAGGGACAAAGTGACTAAATACGGTCATATCTGCAGAGGTGGCTCAGAGGAAAACAAGTTGCAGCTGGTCGATGTTCACACAAGGGGCTCCAGAGAGGAAGCAGCAGCAGGCGGAAAAAGAGGAGGGGGGGGGGGGGGGATATCAGCCTGAATGAGGTCATGGCTTTTTGGCTTACGCCACCATGGTTACCGAGTGCATTCACATGGTGAAAATGGGAACAGAGTGGGACAGGAGCTGGACTGGGAGCGCTTTGTGCTTTAATCTGAGAAATATCCAAAATTTAAAAAAAAACCGAGACATTCAAATCTGCAGCGTGTGAGATACTGACCCACCACTCCTGGTCCTCCTCTCCATCCACCACGATCACCTCGCCCTCAGAGAAGGTCAGCTCGTCCGGGTTGTCGGCGACACAGTTGTAGATCGCTTTCACTCGCTTCGGCCTCTGCTTCTGCGAGACGGAACGAAAGCAGACAGACAGGTTTGATCCAGTTTGTCCAGAAGAGAGAGAAGAGGAAATGTGGTGGTGCCACATTCTGTCTCCGTCTTTGTTTTTCTTACACTATTGGAATGTTTCTTTATCATTATTTCTGGGAACTAAGGCCAAGTTACACAGAGGAGATGAAGTCGGTGAGAATGACGACGCTTTCTGGTGTTGATGCTTTATTTTAGTCCCCGAATAAAAAGGTCTTTCACAAACTGAGGGCGTAATGACAGAGGTTGTTGTATGCTGTATGGGTTGTAAAGCCTCTAAGAGGCAAATTCATGATTTGGGACTATAAAGTCTTAATGGCGAAAAACATTTTGTCTTCTGTAAATAAAGTGAATTCTTCTTTTATGGTTTGTTTCTACTGTTATATTTGTGTATTTTGAACTGCTTCTGTGTATTTTCTGAACCTCTGACCGAAGGAATTTGTTTCTTTGCAAAACAAAGTTGAATTCAATTAGATTTGAATTTTACAAAAGGACTAAAAATAGCAGGAAGCAGAAGATATAAGAGCTTAAAATCCAACGATTCATCCAGTGATAACATGTAATTGTTGCAGCACAGGGTCTGAGACGGGCTGTAATCCTATGATTCTCCATTGATTGACAAACTAGAAGACTAGAATACTAGAAACAAAAAGAAATGCATCGGTTATTCGTAATTGCAGGCTAGAAAGCTGTAAATATTCTTCCACCTTAAAACCACTGAGACAATAGGTCGGCCTACAGGGTACTGAGGGGTATTGCACAACGCTAATAGCTACATAAACCATGACTTAGGAGTCAGTAGCCAGTGAATGAATAAGCGCTTTCTAATCGACACTATCTGGATGATGATGAGGGGAAGAATGAGGGACTCACTGGGTAGATTTTCCTCTGCGAGGGGCCTGGAGGCAGAGACTGACCTATGGAGTTCTGGGGGCATCCTGGCACTTCCTTAGCTGGAACAGGAAGAGGAAATTATATCACAACGACAACAAAAACGTTCCACGTTTCCACAGAACAAACAGGACCTGACAGATAGTAGAACAATGTGAACGTAGACGTCTGTACACTGGACAGACGCAGATTTACCAGAATCTGTACTTTGTCTCTCATCTGTGTACTCACCCGGTCTTTCAATAGATACCGTTCGATTCAGAGGTCGGTTGAAGCTTTTATCATTGCTGTAAAACAAAAAAAGGAAAGGCACTCTCATCAACAGTAAGTAAGAGTCATATAAAGTTATATAAAGACACACATGCAACAGAAAACTGTCCAGCTCTCAACAGCTTTGTTACAAATGTATTGCAGCACTACAAACCCTGTGGGAGACAAAAAGACAAAGGGGCGACTGCGGAAGAGAGTTATTGCTCGCCTGGCTCGATGCAGAGCGCAGCCTGGAAGCTAATGAAGCGGCTAAACAGCAGCCATGTAGGCTCATTCCTCTTGTGATAAAAACAACACCACATTACAAGGCAAGCATTCAACAGCAAGATACACAACCCCGGGGTAGAGCAGGCTCTTGTGTATGTGTAGTGAATTGTATAATTCTATTGTTTTCCTGTGTTGCTGATAAAGCCGCCAAAATACCACCTTCAAAAATTGTATTAGCCGTGCGAGAACACTTTTGTTCTTACCCCGCAGGAGATTTAGGCGGCACTGCTCTGGAGCCCAGTGGTCCCTGGCTCGACTTGGACTGCATGCTCATGGACTCCATCTTGGCCACAGGAGGACCCAGACCTGGGACACACAGGAACACACCTCGATTGTCATAACTTTGCAAACTGAACACGTTACTGAACATTTGGATTTTCTTTTTTTATAATTTTAAAGACGTCACACTGGGTTTTAGTGATGCATATTTTTTGCTAAATGATGAATCACAATAAAGAGATGAATGGATTAAAGTAGAATGACAACAATCATTCGGTTAAGACCCGGTCTTGAAGCTGATAGGCGCCTCCGTTTTGTTTCATTATTATTATTATTTTAGTTTGTTTGATTTTAATTTGTGCAAATAAACAAAATCAAACTCTGAAGAATTTAAAGCGTATGCCCCGCGGTGACTGTAAGATTTGGGACCGACAGACCAATATGAAAGTAAAACATTTAAATGCCTGCTTGCTGTGACGTATTTAGTAAACACCGACCTATGACTACTCTTCATCGAAATCATTGTATTAAACTAATATGTCTTCACTGCAGCAATGGTCCAGTTTGAGAGGGAGGAATGGGAGTGTGGGGGGGTCCATACCTCCAGTTGAAGTGAGTCTCAAGGGCGGGATAGGAGGGTGCATGTTGGGGGGGTCTGACGACGACCTCTGACGGCCAACCAGGTCTAAAGAAGAACCGGGCTTCCAGCTGCTTGACGCTGAAGACTGACTGATCCCCCCGAGGCCGGATAACTGGACTGAGACAGACAGACAGAGAAAGAGAGGGGTTATTAAGATATATAAATATATATG